TGAAGGAATTAGAGGAAATGCTGATGGGGTGTCATGTGAAGAACCGGAAAACAATGAAGTTCCTACATAATATGAAAAGATTACATTGTTACATAAAAACACATATTTACAAAGAAAAGATTATTCACATGGAAATTTTAGGAATACTGCGATAATATGGTCTGATATCGCTTTGATAAGATCTCACATCCATCAGAGCGCTATCCTTTCTGCGCCAGTGAAACGGGTTTTTAACCAGTTGGCTGTCACTTAAATGTTCACTCTGTGTGATCTATAAATAATGGTAATATACAGGGTTTATATAATAATTGACAATCATCACTTTGGTGTAATTAAACTCCGAAACTTGCTATATAATCAACATAGAAGCCTAGCAGCAAATTAGTTTTCTTGATTTACTTATGTTTTGCTGAAATCACTTTTGTCCAAATGTCATATGTTCTGTAAGTAGCTTTGTACTTCTCAAATTGATTTAAAACCTTTTATTATTTTCCTCAATTTTTATCATATGAGGCAACTTCAAAATCGTGACATTTGTAAAATGATTTTTGGAAGACTTTTACATATATAATTTGGTTTGGTTGATGTATCCTTCTGAGAAAGTACTCAATCACTTATTTTTACAAGAAGTAGGTAAAAAGATAGATTAACTGATGCTTCATTTAATTCGGATTTTATATTGACATAAAACCACATAATTAATTTGCCATTTAAAAGTGCCCTACAGCCTCTGCAGTCATAGAACAATAATTTAGAAATGACTGTTTGGCTGTCTGTGACTTATCATAATTAACTGTCTTCTCAGCATAAAACATAAAAAGGAGCATACTCAAATATTTTATATTTTAATGTGTTGCATAATATTATTTCACCCAGAAGTAGTAAGAAGTGTATTTCATATTTTGTTCTGAGATGAGTTTTTCATCCGATCTCTAGTTTGATTTCTTTACAGGGAGAGATTTTTCTTTAAATAAGTTCCTGTGTTTGACTCAGCTCTTACAGCTTAGTGCTGAAAATAGAGAAAGTGGTCATTTTAGGAATTTACTGATGGATTTTAAATGTCATGATCCTATTTTGTTTTGTAACATCACCAAAGCTGAAAAAATAGCGGAAAAAGACCCAGCAATACAATCCAACTTCTTGTTATCCAGTGAGGCATATCTTCTTCTGGATATCATTAAACTAGAAGAAAGTTTTGACTTTGCTATCATCCCGCTGTTTCTTTTTAAATGTAGCTTCCAAACACCTAACATTTTGTCATTGAAATATCACCATAAGCTGATATGATACCATGTGCTCTTCTTTTATCTTTGGAAGCTTGAATTTTATGATTTAAAATGCACTTTAGTCACTTAAGGAAGAGTGATATTTTATGCTATTTTCTACGGGAAAACAACTTTGCAGAAATTATATATTGGAACGTAGGAGAGTTCTTTTGAAATAATTTGAATGGTTGTTGTAAAGGTAAAGCACTCTGTCCATTACTGGAAAATAACTTTACGTGTACCTCCTGAGATGTAAATAAATCATTGATGACATTTTTTGCAATGTGAATGTGACATTAGGATTCTTAGAGCATTCAACTTCAAGTAGCAATCCAGCAATGGTATAGACTAAGGATATTATTGTATAGTATGCTGAGAAAAGCACATCTGTAAAACTGTTGTGTCTTGGTTATTAGTGCTAGGATTTGAACTATCTTTAATCTCATTTGACTCGTTCATCTTCCTTAAGGATCTCCATAAAGATGCACAGAGTATTCTTTTCAGTCCTGAGTTAGGGTTTGCATCAGTGGTCGTAAACCTGCTTAGCGGACAAAGACTCTTTTGCCTTTGAAGTCACTTCCCCAGCTTTTCAAAAGGTCTGCAAGCCGGTTCCCCTAAAACAATTTAGAAAAGTTTGAAGTGGTGCCCCTTAAACCAGCAACAAAATAAAATTTTCTCTTTGCATTATTGAAAACCATGACAATCTTCTGAAGCAGTAACAGTTTAAAAGCTTTTAAAGAAATCTGTTCTGCTCTACGACCAGCTTTTAAGTTGACCCCATTATTTGGAAAATCAGAGGCTTGGAAACCCCTAAATACTTGACATTCTTATCAAAGGAGTCATCCTGACTTTTCACAGGACTCCTCTTTTACAGTATTTATTCAAGTCCTAATTTCTTTAAAGATACTATTCAGATTTATTCTATTTTTTTTTTTTCCTTTAAAACAAATGTAATTTAGTAAACAGTTGATATAATTTATGGAACCTTGATCCTGCCTCCTGTACATTTATACTCTGTTATGTTTGAAGTCAGGTCCAAATTCTAAAAAGACTACGAGCATTACTTATGTAATTTTACTTTTCTGTGGAGAAAAGTAACATTACATCTTTTTGCAAAACCATCTCCTGTTTTTGAAGTAAAGAGTTTGATTTTACCATTGCTTTTCTGTGGACTGTGATAAATATATATGCTCAGTTTGTACTTCTTGTTTTAAGAATCTTATCTCCTACATATTATGTAGGTAGTTACTGACAGCCTAACATAGGTAAAGCCTACAGTAATGTAGTTGCTGTAAGCAGTAAGTTTGCTATAAAGATTTTGTTTATCTGCACCTCCTAATAATTCATGTAGACATTGCTTCTTGTAAGTCCTTCGAACTCCGACATCTTATATTCATTACTTCCACTACAGCGTTGTACGCTTAAAACTTCTTTGATTTCAAAAGTTTCTTTAACGTGTGTAGTACATAATTAGATCAATTCCTTGCTGATCTGTGCGAGTATGTGTTAAATGCAATTTCTGGAAGCAAAGGAAAGCAATAAAACCAGAATTCTAGCATTTTGCTAATGTGGGCAGCTCATTTAAAAGAAGACAAGCAAGAACTTTAAATGCACAAAGCTGCCTCCTTTTTTGTGGCTTGGGTACAACAGGGAGAAAGAATCGGGTCAACAAAATTAAATTGTTACTGGATAAGACAACTGTTGTAGTTGCTGTTACATTTTCCTCTACAACTGCAGATCTGTGGCTTGTCTACACAACATTCATTTATGAATCTTGTAAGGTGCCTGCCCCATGCTTAGGTGAGGCAAGTTCAATAGAGCAAACTGTAAAAGGTTTGTGAGCATTCGTAGGATCAGCCACCTGAGAAGTACCTAGAGGTCATTAAGTCTACCCTTATGCTTCTAATTTGTTAGGAGTTTTTCCTTTGCTTCCGAACTGTCTGCCATACTTCCTGGGTTTGAGTGTGTTTTGCCAAACATACGAAACAAAAGCAGTAGCTTTTAATGATTGCTTACTAAGAGATTAGGGACAATTCAGCAAGTTGCTCCAAAGCGTTTTCAGATTTAAAATGCTGATAACATGCGTGCATACGTGTGTGTATATATGCACGCATATATATTTAGTGTGTATGTCTAAGAAGAAACAGATGTGTTTGCTTTTTCAAGATTCTGTATTGTGGGTATAAATGATAGTTCATAACAGCAACTGCAGAATAAATCAAATGTTGACAGATCAAAATCCTTGATTTGATACTTTGCAGTAGGTTAGGACCTGTTTTACAAAGCTGTTTGAATGTGGCAGCTACATGGACGCTGTGGAAGGTGTTGCAAGTGGTCCAAGTAAAAATGTAAAATATGGAGAGTAAGCTAAGCTTTTATTTATGCAAACCCAGATCTGCACTTCTTTTCCACAGAAGTCCCTCACTATACATGTGCAGGGTCTGGGTAGCTACCTGTTTTAATATATTTCCTTAATTTCTAATAAGACCCAGTACCACCATTCCTAGTACTGTTAAGGCTCTACGTGGACAAACCAATGACATTATACTGGTTTTATCTTTTGGAAAGTTACAACCCCAAATATAATCTGAATGATGCTACCGTAGTAACAAATGGAGTCAGTTCGCCCTATTGTTATTCCATCTTTTTGCCAAACCATCTCCTGTTTTTGAAGTAAAAAGAGTTTGATTTTACCATTGCTTTACTGCTTTGCTGGTATCTCACATATCATCGTTTATTGTGAAGTGAAATTATTCCTCGCTGCTTAAAAACTCCTCTAATCCTTTTTGAAACTACATGATAACATTGCCTGAGATACAGTCTTTAGAGTTCAAATGCTTCATAAAATGCTATGACTGAACTAATTGTGTGGTAATACAAAAACAACATTGCGATTTCCATGAAATGCTAGCACTCTTGAAGAGGGTGATCTAGTGAATGACCTGTGAGTGAAGTTGTAACACTACTTAAAGAGCGTTATAGCATTCGCTTACCCTTTCTGTGTCTTCACCTGGAGAATAATTTTTCTTTTCTTTTGAATGGGCCAATTGTACAAACTCTTTTCCTTTATAGTATCCGTATATGTTTGATTACAAACAGAATCTCAAAAAAATACAGTTTTATTTGTTCTTCTTGCAGTGCAATGTTTAATAGAGGCAGTGATAATTAACATTGCGTTAGTGTGTTTTGATTTTGCAAATTCATCTGAAGCTGGTCCAAGCTCCGCATCTTACAAGGAGTTAGACATGAGGCTGAGGTTTCAACACTGTTACGAGGTTAAAATAAAATCAGTCAATAGATGTTTTACCTCATCTTCGGACACTGTAGGTGTCTCTTCTCAGTATCTGTCGTAGTGACACTTGGTTTATGTGTGCCTGTTATAGGAAAAGGTAGTAATTGACTTAGATCTCTTCCTCCACAAAATAAAATAGCGGGGGAGACGGAGGGAGGGAAAAATGCAAATCTGTGTGCTCTGACTTCAGTTTGGTTTTACCACACGCTTGACTTATATTAATGTGCGTTGGTAAACGTGCAGGCTGAATTCCTATAGCATACTGCTGCTGTGCTGTATAGATACGACTACAGAACAAGCATATGCAAACAGTAGCATAGAAGTGATTTGTAAGGAACGTGAACTCGGAGGGCAAGGAAACTGAAGACACTTCAGTGATTGAAAGCAGTGATTTCAGAAACAGATTGTAACCAAGGATTGCTTTTATTGTTTTTTCATTGAAGGTGATTTTGCAACTCCTCGAGCTGTTTTGACAGGACATGACTATGAGATCACCTGTGCTACCATTTGTGCTGAACTTGGCCTGGTAATAAGTGGTTCGAAAGGTAAGGTAGCTGTTGTCATTTCTTTCTGTTCACGAAGCTATAATCCTAATGCAACAAGTAATACAGTCTCAGGTGGCAGAATTTATTAACTTTATGGTGGTTTTATTTCTAACCTTTTTGTAATTGCGGTGGAATTTGAAACCTCTTCATAAACACGTTAAAACTGAGGATTATTCAGATGTTTACAAAAAGAGGCCACCACATCAGTTTCCCTGTTATAGCCTACTGATTACTATTTCTTTTTGTTTGTTTATCCAGTGTGTAATTGCATATAGCATGCAGTTGGATACAGCTCTTGACTGCCAGGATGGTGAAGGATGTTTGTTATAGATAACTTCTCAGAAAGGGAAGCAAAAATTAGTTTTGGGAGAAAGAGAACGTGCTGTCTTGTTTGTTTGATGAAGAGTATATATAAACTACCAAATGAAATTTACAGTAATTCTGTTCAGGCTTTTTGAGCTTAGCTACAAAGCCTGTAATATGCCCCATTCGTGTTCTCAAAGACCAGCTTTTGGTAGGCAAATTATATGAGTGATATAAGACTGATGTTGATTCTATGGATATTGTTTATCATTTTCCTGTTTGCTGGTCCACAATTATTTTTAAACTGGAAATTTCTTAGAATTAGGATCTTTCTTCTTTAGTGTTTCCAAGGTATCTGCTTTGAAATGCTTTTTACCATGTGCACCTATGTGCATTTCTGCTTTATGCATGTGAAGACTTGTGGCTTACATGCAAATCAGGTATTTATCCAAATACATTGAAAAGCGAATATTTAATGCGCCATGTATGGGTTGAAATCTTAATATGAGAATATACACTTTTGTAAATTCATTAAACTTACCTTTGTGTGTCCTTGTATTTTGAAAATCTTATTTTAGGATTCAGTACGTTTATTTTTTCTGGTCTTGAAGTTAACCACTGCCAGTTGTAAAAGAAAATTCACAAAAGAAAGTCTGTTAGGTCTCTAACTAGTTTTGTTAGGTGCTCTAAAATAGCTTATTACAAAGCTTTTAAGGGATAGGCTGTTCCTTTTACTCTCTGCCACCCTTAAAGTCATAGGCTATCCACTTAAACATGGTAAAAATTATTGTAACGTAATATAATAGTGATTACCTAAGTAGAAGGCCTTACTTATTATTTTATATACAATGTCTTCAAATAAGCATGTAAATCAGTAACTAGAGATTTTATTCTGTCTCGTTAGAAGGACCATGTCTCATACATTCTATGAATGGAGATCTACTGAGGACATTAGAAGGTCCTGAAACATTAGAAGGTCCTGAAAACTGCCTGAGACCAAAACTTATTCAAGCTTCAAGAGAAGGCCACTGTGTCATATATTATGAAAACGGCCTCTTCTGTGTATTCAGTGTGAATGGGAGACTTCAAGCCACTATGGAAACAGATGACAAGATAAAGGTGAGTGTGCTCAAATGCGTGCTAAGGACTGTCATTTCCAGCATTAGGAAAAGCTACTAATGTTGGAGTTGTGTGGAGACTCTTTCTGTAGCCAGGCCATAGAAATAGATGGTGCTAGACCATAATAGCATCATTCCGAAAAAATTGTTAAAGGGACCTTGTACTCCTAATAGCACTGTTTTTAATTTTAAAATAACTGTTCATATAGTAAGGAATACCTCGTAGGCATTTCCTTGAACTGAAGAGTACAAATATTACTAATTGCTGACCAAGAGAAGCCAGGCTACTACTTTACTTTTGAGTCTGAAGGCAGGAGGTCATTGGAGATGCTGGTTTGGATGTTGACCTTTCCTTTTTTGGCATCTCTACATTCCTTCATCTTCGCTTGAGATAGCGTGTGTTGGGCTGAGCTTCAGTTTATAGGCATATGTCTATATTTCAACTCTTCAGCCCTTTGGCTTTTGCTGAGCAGGCAGCTAGGTTCCACAGCTTTAGCTGCAAGAGTCATCAAGCAAGTCCAAAACTATGCAGGAGGCATTTTAAGCTTATGGTTTTATGGAAATTATTTTATAATACAAAATGCAGGACTTTTGACAGTTCCTGTGAAATAGTACCTATGAAGCAGAGCAGAACCTGCCAGCTATACTGCAGTAAAGCAGAAATGTCAAAAGAATGCTTTCCTTGAATTAAAAATATTCCTGCTTTTTTCTTGAATGAGGAAGAAGGGAAAGGGAAGGGGAAAAAAAAAAACCCACAAACCAAGCCTTACCAAATCTGCTAGAAAGTTACAGAATGCAGTAGAGACATGAAGAAAGACCACATTGCTGGGTCAATATTCAGGCTACCTGAATTATCTGAAGTTACGGTCTCTATGCCAGTAGTCGTGGTCTGAGAGGCACAGAATCACAGAATGGTTGAGGTTGGAATGAGCCCCTGAAGATCTGGTCCAGCACCCCTGCTCAAGCAGCCCATCTAGAGCCAGTTGCCTAGGACCATATCCAGATGGCTTTTGAATATCTCCAAGAATGGAGATTCCACAGCCTCTCTGGACAGCCTTGGTCAGTGCTTGGTCATCCTCACAGTAAAGAAGTGTTTCCTATATAAAAACTGTTTAACATCAGCAAGAGGAGACTTTTGTTGTTGTAAGCATATATCAGCAGTGTAGTACCTCCAGGCTGACTTTCATCATCTATGGAAGAACCCAGCAACTGAGCTGCTGGGATTTACAATGTGCTCTTGAGTTTATGAAAACTCTCAAAAGTTTTTCCTTTATTTGCATTAGATGTTTCAGGAAGAAAATGCCTCTTTGCCCTCATGTTTGTTTTACATAATTATTGGAATTCTTTCAGATGTTGTGCAAAATTTTGAGCATTTTTAAATTTGCACTTCTTCTCTTGACTCTTAATTCTTAAGATGGAAGAATGTGTCAATGTATTTGAAAGAATTTTGATCATCATTATTTCCATTTTATAACTTACCTTGAACAGTCACTGTTCCAGTACCACTGAAATGTCCAGTGTAGTTCAGTGTATTCCACTTTAAAGCTTCAAAAACTCTGTGGTATACTAGGCTGTTAATCCAGCATCCCTGTATTTTCAAAATGTCAGATATGTTGGTGGTGGAATCTGCAGAAATAACTCTCTGTGTAGGTGTCTCTTCCATAGTGAGAGTGCTGTCTGCAGGGGTGAGAGGGCATTCTGTCTTTGGATGCCAGGCCAGCCACAAGTGTAGATTTGAGGCTGGTGAAATGAAGTAGGAATGTGTATGTTTCTGTCCCAAGCCATTTTTCCAAATTAATGTAGATTCTTGCTTCAATTTTTAATCTTTCTTCAATTCTGTGAAATTGCACCGCTGGCTGTCCTTGTACAAATGCTTTTGAGATTTTTCAGCCTACCCTTCATCCCAGTTCTTTCCATAAAGCAAGCACATATCACAGTGTTTTCTCTTTTTACAATAATAATGTTGATCATCTGTCACTTTCAGTTGTGATTATGTTGTCAGCTAGGCCAGCAAATCTGTAAAATATCTAGAAATCCCTCGCCGGCTAAAACAATTTCTGTAGTGTTTCAGTCAGTACCCACAGCTTTAGGAATGTTGCTGGAGGCAATGGAAGTTCTGCTCTCTGCGGGCCAGAATTACATATGTACAGGGTTTTGGGTTTTATTTGGTTTTGTTTTGTTCCCTTTCTCTCTCAGTGGTCCCAGTTGGGCTTTACGCTTAAACAACCCACAGCGTCTTTTCTAGTGCTTCTGCACTATATCATGTTAGAAGGCAAGTGGCAACTGCATGATTAAAGTAGGGGCATTTAAAATGAATAGTACCTACCCGTGGGCTGTGCTGACAGACACTTTTCTTTGGTTTTTGCTCAAGGAGGGTGGAAGAGGGAAGGAAAAGGTCATAAGTGTTGAATCTGTAATGTAAAATTCTAGTTTCTATTTTCCTATGGTCACAAGTGTTGAATCCGTAATGTGACATTGTAGTTTCTATTTTCCTGTGTCATCATGGACCAGTATTTCAGAACGTTATTGACAAAACAAGCAGTTTCAATAGCGATGTTCGGAACAACATTCTGATTTTCTTTCTTGCGTTCTCGTGCTAGACGACTGATGGAAAAATGTCAGACGCTCTGGGGAATTCAAAGTCTAATCAATGCCTTCCACCTGTTTTTGTTTTAAATACTGTATTGCTCAGTGGAGCTTAGGCATATCGCAGTACATCTACCGTGTAATGTTTAGATATCTTAATGAAGAACTTAACTCTAAATAGTCTGCTTGTTCTGAGAAGTAAAGTTATTTTACCCTAAACAAAGACTGTATGCTGTTTCACCCAGAGGAACCAATTTATTTTCCTTTCCCTGAGTCTGTTTTGAAATGTGGAAGTGCCCACAAGACTCCTGCTGCTGTAAGCCAGGCCTGTCACAGTGTCAGCTCTGCCTTTTTACAAAGCGCACTGCCTTTCAAAACTCGGGGATGTTAGAAGGGATTTGTGCAGAGTTTTGAGGCTTACCGAGGAAATACGAGTCAGAAATGCAGCTTTTAGAACGTTGCTGAAATTGCGCGCTGTGGGGATTACTTGAGAGGCTGAAGCTTATGTTGTGAGCAAGATTAGTTGCAGAGTTGTTACAGTTTCATACCTAGCAGAATCGTGGGTAAACTACGCTGGGGAAAAGCAGAACAGTAAAATTGATTCATGCCGTCTTCTAGACCGGTTGGAGTACTTGGGAGTAAAAGCATCCTTTCGTTTGTTAAATCTTGAAGGGCACGTCATGAGACTGAAATGTTGACAGGGTGACCTTTTTCTTCCATTCATTTCTTCATTCATATATATATATATGACAAGTGACTGAGAAATGTATTAATAAACTATAAAAATAAATAAATGAGCATCTTGTCTTCATGACAAGCCAATGACTTAGTAAAATCGCGTAGGTATTAGTAAGCGTTCAAAGCCTATACTTCATTTAATCGAAAGATCACAAAAAACACTGCATTTTGCAGGTAGTGGAAGAGTTAAAGATTAATGGCTTTAATTTGCCTTTTAATATAGCATTTCTTCAGTAAAAGCCTCAAGTATAAAATTCAAGTGAACCATGACCGTAAGGTTAATGGATTTTCATCAGCTGAATTTTATAAGTGTAGCAAATAATTATTTGTCACGGTCTTCATTGCAATTTGAAAATACCCTTAGGAGGCTGCTATTGCTATAGAGAAGAAAACCACCCCATATTGATTTTTGCCTCTAATGAATAATCTTTTTAATAATTGTATGTGGTACGTTAGATCTCATGATCATCTGCTCAGCGCATGCAAGTTCTAGATGATTTTCACAATCTTGTCTCAGTTTGTTATCTACCCACTT